AGCACATGTGAAACATCATATATTACATCATATGAAACCACATTTTTTTACCACTGGTTGGTGGTTTCAACCTACCCCTCTGAAAATATGAGTTCGTCAGTTGGGATTATGAAATTCCCAGTTTATGGAAAGTCATAAAATGTCATAAAAGCCATGTTCCAAACCACCAACCAGACCACATGAAACACTTGGTTGATAACTGCTATCCTCATGGTGCCCGGACGCAGGGTTCCTCGTGGGGGCCGTAGACATCCACACGGTGAAGCGCCACCTGCCTGGCATGGAGGGTTGGGCCGTGAAAAATGGTGAGTTCAATGGTTCTTTGATCTTTTTTAATGGTGATAAAATGCTGGTAAAATGCCATTAAAATACCATTTCAATTGAGGTTTTATCAGATGTTGATGGTGATTAAAAAAAATATAATTACTTTACTTCGTGTGATCCCCACCATGACATTTATACATTTTCTTACTGGCAAATCTTCTGGCATTCTATCTGACATATCTTCTGACATTCTATTTGGCATTTTATCTGGCATATCTTCTGGCATATGATCTGGCATATCTTCTGGCATATCTTCTGGCATTTTATCTGGCAAATCTTCTGGCATTCTATCTGGCATATCTTCTGGCATTCTATCTGACATATCTTCTGGCATTCTATCTGGCATATCTTTCTGGCATATATTCTGACATATCTTCTGGCATTCTATCTGGCATATCTTCTGGCATTTCTTCTGGCATATCTATCTGGCATATCTTCTGGCATATTTTCTGGCATTCTATCTTCTGGCATTCTATCTGGCAAATCTTCTGGCATTCTATCTGGCATATCTTCTGGCATTCTATATGGCAGATCTTCTGGCATTATATCTGGCATATCTTCTGGCATCCTATCTGGCAAATCTTCTGGCATTCTATCTGGCATTCTATCTGGCATATCTTCTGGCATATTATCTGGCATTCTATCTGGCATATCTTCTGGCATATTTTCTGACATATCTTCTGGCATTCTATCTGGCATTCTATTTGGCATTCTATCTGGCATATCTTCTGGCATATCTTCTGACATTCTTTCTGACATTCTTTCTAACTTTCTTCTGCACATTCTTTGTCCCATATCTTCCTACATGAGGTCCGGCAGGGAACACTTGGCGTTGATACTCGCGGTTGAGGTCCGGCAGGGAACACTGGGCGTGGATGGTCGTGGTTGAGGTCCGGCAGGGAACACTGGGCGTGGATGGTCGTGGTTGAGGTCCGGCAGGGAACACTGGGCATGGATGGTCGTGGTTGAGGTCCGGCAGAGAACACTGTGGATCGCGGGTCGCAGTTGGACGGGGACGACGAGGACGACGAGGACGACGAGGACGACAAGGACGACAAGGATGACAAGGAGGACAAGGAGGACGAGGAGGACGAGGAGGAGAGGAGGACGAGGAGGAGAGGAGGAGGAGGACGAGGCAGGAGTCAGGAGGAGGCAGGAGGAGGCAACTGACATAAAATCTAACAACCCTCACCTGGCAGGTGGGGAAAAAGAACTTTGAATGGCATGTTAATGGCATTTAGATTTTTTTTGGATGGTATTTGACTAAGCCATGAAAAATTGTGAACCGCGGACGTGACAAGAATTGAACCATCAATCTAGAACATGGGCTGAATAAACCAACATCATCAAGCATAGTAAGAATACGCCTCGCTGGTGTCAGCCATAAGACACAAGGGTTCCGATGCAGACATCGATTCATCATTCTATGAAGTTTAAGAATTGGTTAACATAGGTAGATTATAGATGATTATAGATTTCTCGTCCTTCTTGGTGGTATCAACAACGAATGTACATTGGCACTTGCTGAACTCCAAAAATCGAACGTTGCTTCCCAATTTGGATGCCACTCGAATACCTAAATATTGAGCCATAGTCACCCACATGTGTGAACAATCCCGCAACGAAGACTATGTTTAGCTGCTTGGAATTAACATGGATTGACAGCCCCAGTTATGGCAAATTAAAGTATATCCAAGGTAGACCCAGAGCTGCTGATCATAGACTAGAATTGTGATACTTAAAAAAAAAATAGTTGTAGTTAGACAAGGTCGGGCCCCCTAGATAGCTAAGTTGGTCTATAACTAATATAACAAGGATTTATGGCAAATATATCTGTATCTTGTCACAGTTAATGGGTTTTGTACAATAATATTACAATTGGAGAAGCCAATCGTGTGTTATCAGTTATCAGAGATAACTATACTATATAGAAGGTATTGTTACTTGGATGGGCCATGGAGTTAACGAGTTGACTAGTTAATGAATGGATTATAATTGGGATATCTCGTGGGTTTTTACTCACTTACAAAGCAGGAATCGCCAATCCCATGGCCCATCTCCATCAATAGATAGACATACAGTAGTTAGACATAGATTGATGATGACATCTTTGACTATGAATAGATAATATAGATCATATACCGTTAATAATTGATCATATCCCACTATTAATAATAATCTAAGTAGGGTACAATTTCGCAACCGGACTCCAGCGACAGGCGCACCTCTTGATACTGCGACTAACTCCATTGGGCCTCAGTGAAGACTTCCTGACCAGTACAGTAACTAGATTCCTAGATGTATATAACTAGGGGATTTGTAGCGAAAGCACCAAAATGATGGAGGTGTTAACCAAGCATAATGGAGATAATGGGGATATAGTGGGGATATAAAGTCGCAAATTGTTTGGTTGCTAACCTTTGGAGAAAAAAAACAGAAGAGGTTCAGTACCAGGTCTAAGCAACATCAATCGTTCGGAACATCTCTGAGAAGAAAAAGAACCGATGGCTGGATTTTGATGCTACTACGTTCCAACAAAGTTTGATGTCTAGCTGGTTGCTTTAAAACATCCTTCAGCCACTACCATGGATCATCTATTGTCATCTTCAGCCATGGTGGTGTGGCTATGGGTTATTCCTGGCGAACAAAGTCAGACTGTTGCAGAGCTGATGTTCGATTGGTTGATATGGGATAGCAATGGGATATTGGCTTATATACTTTTTATATATATGGTTTTACATGGGTTCTTAGTTCTCTCCCAGATGATGAGATAACAGAACTAAGATCAACGACCTCAGACGGCTTTTTTGGATCGCGAAAAATCCATCCCGCGAGCTCTGCATTCGGCGCAACTTTCTTTGTGACAGCGCAACTCTTGAGAGCCAACTTGGGGCAGCTGAGCAGAACTTCATATCAATCCTCCATGGCCACGAACGTGGCAAGGGGGCTGAAACATGTTGAGATTAAAAGATCCTGGATTTTGACGATGCCAAAGAAATTCAACTATGGGGGAAATCGATCCTGACATGGGAAATCAAATTCATCCATTGTTTTGGTCATAGGGCTACTGGTACATATGGGATGACAGGGGAAATTGGGTCAAAAAAATGACCAAGATCTGCCCTTGACAAGCCACCTGGGTCAACAACACAGGTGGAAAAAAAAATGTTGGAAGCTGATCTACGCAAAAAAAAATGAAACGGTGTTGTTCTGTGATTCAAAATTATTGAAATGGAGTTTTGCTGAAATGGGGGTTTCCTTACCTCTAAATCATCCATTTTTTTTTGGGATGTTCCATGATAGACCAACCATTTTGGGTACCCCCATTGATGGAAACCCCAAATATGAACGTCTCCTCTTCCGAGAGGGGGTCCTCGAAGCTCAGTGAGTGCACATCAAACTTCTGGAACTTTCTCCTAGGTGGAAAACAGACCCCATTGAGGCTCTATAAGGACAGAAACCACCCAGAAGAAATTTGCACATCGTGAATTTAGCAGTGGATTTCTTTGATTCAGTGCCCATGAATCGTCTCAATGGCAAGTGATTGAGTTGTAATTGCTACTGCAGAAACTGACTTGACATGCTCGCCTTCCAGTCTTGCAGTCTGATGCAATCATTGTATCTCAAAGCTGGAGAGTCTACATCATGGTGCTCAACCGAGATTCAGCCGTGCTGTTCACACCGGTCTAGGATGTGCAGCAGCATCTTGCGCACCTGTTTGATCAAGGCATGTCCATGGCAAGTAACGCAAGAGTTGCACCTGACTTAACTCATGCAGCAGCAGGCAATATATACACCATACAACATGAATGCTTTACTAAATCATAGTCATAGCTTGCCAGAGTATCAGATTTTTATGCAGACAAAATTTGATATGGAGGTTTCCATAAATGGAGATACCTCAATAGCTGGCTTATAATCGAAAAATCCCCCCAAAAAAAGGATGATTTTCCGAAAATTACCCCATGGTTACTCCCATTTTCGGAAAGCCTCAAGTGACAACTTATCACTGGCCTTGGTGAAGTCCCGTCACCCGTCACCCGTCACCACTGCCTCCAGCGGTCCGACTGAGGTGCCCTTTTGACCATCTGCATCCATGACCCCTATGAGAAGGGTATGGGAAGGGTCAAAGTGACGATGGCCAAGTTTCCTATAGTATTAATAAATTTCAATAAATGATTGATAGGCTGATTCCACAGGCCGTTAGATATCTGGAAGGTTCTCAGCAGCGCTACACTACAGGGCCAACTTGACTTTCCAGGTGGATATTTTTGTCCATGCCATGGAATATGTCGGAATCTTCCCGGCATTTCCAATCACTAAATGGGGGTGTCCGAAAATAGTGCCCAAAAAAAAATCATGGTTTATCAATCAATTCCCCATTTTCAGACCCCAAAATATGTTTTGTATCTGCCAAGCCCAACGCGGAGTGAGCGTTCATCGCAACAAAGACCGATAAGGATGAGAATGGATGCACTACAATAGCATTGTTTGACACATACATGGGATTACACGGGTATCTACAGACAATATTATATATATATACTGTAGTTTTATGTTTGTCCAAACTGGAATGCCAAATAGTTTTTTCTGGGTTTGGAAAATGATGACCTAAAAAATAGAACTTAGAGGCTTAGAGGACAAACGGTGACAAACCCATTGATAACCAATGCTTTTCACAGACTTACCGTTGTACCGTTGTGATGGACATGGGCAATGCTGGGTTGCCCGCGTTCCCTGGCCCTTTTTCCTCCGCAATGACCCGCTGATGGTTCCTGATCTCCATTTGGAAATGCCGGGCACCCGCCTTTCTCTGGGTCTCCCCAAGCAACAACTGTCCCATCCTGAGGGGTTTGGGTCAGAACGACCCCAAGAAATCACTCATCTTCGAGGATTCCCCACATAGACCTAGGGACCTAGTGACCTAGTGGTTTACCCTATAACCCATATTAACCCATGGAAAAAGACTGAAAAAAACTCAGTCAAAGTCAGGCATCTGCAAGGATGGCAGCAAAAGCTGCATCTGTGGCTTGGATCTGCTGGACATTTTTTAAATGCTCCTGGACCTTGCAGTCCCCACCAGCTGCCGGATCACCCCAGGCCACCACCTGGCCATCGCTTCGGATCGCAGCGAAGGCTCGGGTGGTGGATTGGATGTGCTGAATGGAGTGAAGTTGAGCTTGGACGCTACCACCTGGGCGGGTGAAGGCATGTCTTTAGCCGCTTTAGCCTGGTGAAATGTAGAAAGATGCCTTTGCCATCCAACTGATAGTGTGAACCAGAAAAGCTGCACTGGGCTTGAAAGATCATGACCCTTGCATACCCTTGCTAGGTTTCACCACTGCTCAAAAGTTGCAGATCAGGTACAATCACCCCCCGCGCTGGGATCTCCCCATGCCACCACGGTCTGATCCTCCAGAATAGCAGCGAACGCTGAGTGGGTCGCCTGAACTCTTTGCACACCCTGTAGCTGATCTCTCACGCAGCTACCTGATTGGTGTTTCAGCCTCCCATCCAAAAATTTCTAAATTGGAACCATCATCCCGGATGGAAAATATATGAAACAACCAACCACTTCACAGCTGTTTTCAATAGACCCATGACACCCATGGTTTAAGTTGAGCCTCTGTCACCGCCCTTGTCCGTATGGCCCCAGGTCACCAGTTGTCCATCGGCCAAAATCGCCGCAAAAGCACCGGAGGTGGCCTGCACATCTTCGACATTCCTCGGTGAAGGCCAGGGGATGGGATCCGATAGCGGGGGTTGGAACATATGAAGGTTTCGTAAGTCGTGGTGATACCCCAGTTTTTTTATTTTATACTGAAACCAATGGTGACTTGGGGATCCCTCATTTTAAGAAACCTCCATCTTATTCTTATATGTGTTTGTCCATGTTTTTGAGTCATGGAAAATCAAAACAGATCTGAAATAGTCCATTTTTAGGGATGGAAAATCAGAAAAGATCTGAAATCACCCATGAGATTCCTCAACTGATCCGAGACCTCACTGTTGTCTCCACCCAACTGCCGCAGGCCCCACGTCACGACTCCTCCCTCGCTGTTGATCGCAGCGAAGGCACACTGGGTGGCCTGGATCTTCCGCACGTTTCGGAGCTGATCCTGCACTCTGCCACCTGCAAACATCACCAGCGGACTCCACAAATAACCCACTGGATCTCTACAAGGTGGAAACATTGTAGTTAGCTAAGTTGGTTTACAATCAGGTTATATGCAAATCTACAGTGAACGGGTGTATAAGTCAACATAAATAGGGAGCCACCAAATCTACCTGCAGTCAGCTCTTCCAACAATCCAAGTCACAGTTGCCACCAGACGACTGTAAGCCCCATGCAACCACTCCGCCATCTTCCAGGATGGCCGCGAACGCCGCATCTGTCGCCTGCACCGCAGCCACCTTCACCAACTGATCCTGCACTCGACTGCAGTCGCCACCGGCGGAAGCATCGCCCCAAGCCACCACTGTGCGGTCAGCACGGATTGCCACAAAGGCGGAGTCTGTCGCCTGGGCGAAGATCTTTGATACCAACCCACAACAAACTTAGTGGCAAAAAAAAAGGGTTTGACCAACAAACATGAAGCTTCAACCAACAAAAGTTGTAAGATTACGCGCAAACACCCCGATTCGCCCACACCCCTTCTATGCTGTACACTTGGGGATATCAAACGTTAGACTTTACATTCAATTGGGAAGATCAACAAGGGTATTTAGGGAATATAAATTTCCCACCACCGTTAAACTTCTACATTCATTGAAGATCTGCAATAAGGGTTTAATTCTCCCACCCCCGTTACACTTTTACATTCATTGAAGATCTTCAATAAGGGTTTAATTCTCCCACCCCCGTTAAACTTCTACATTCATTGAAGATCTTCAATAAGGGTTTAATTCTCCCACCCCCGTTAAACTTCTACATTCATTGAAGATCTTCAATAAGGGTTTAATTCTCCCACCCCCGTTAAACTTCTACATTCATTGAAGATCTTCAATAAGGGTTTAATTCTCCCACCCCCGTTAAACTTCTACATTCATTGAAGATCTTCAATAAGGGTTTAATTCTCCCACCCCCGTTAAACTTCTACATGCATTGAAGATCTTCAATAAGGGTTTAATTCTCCCACCCCGGTTAAACTTCTACATTCATTGAAGATCTTCAATAAGGGTTTGATGATGATGATGATGATGATGATGATGTGTAAGAGACTCGCACAGGTCCCTATGCTGTGCGTGCCGATATACAACATGACGTTAGCCATTATGCAAAAAACTCCCATTTTTATCACGTTTTCAGCACATACGAAGATGGCCGCCGACAAGCGCGGGCAAATCGAGGTGTTTGCCCGTAAGATTACAGTAGGTGATTTGTTGTGGTCACCATAGTTTTCCCAGAATGCTAGCGGCTAGCGAAACATGGATGTGAAAGTTCCTCGTGATCCCACGTGGAGCAAATTGGCATGGCCAATCTCAAAATATGTACCTCAAGAGATTAGAGTCTGAGCTGGGTAATAGATGGTAATAGTATGTATGTATATATATATATATGTATATATATGTATATATGTATATATATATGTATATATATATATGTATATACCCATGATCCCCTTTCTTACCCCTTCTTGCTAAATAATATATCAATTATATAGGTCTAGGCTTAGGTATCATATTAAAGTACCCATCCAAGGTTGACCTAGAAAACAGGCAAAGGCAGGGCCTGGAGTTCTTGAACATCCACTAGCTGCTCCTGAACTTGACTGCTGTCTCCACCGGAGTGTCGACTGCCCCAACTGATGACCTTTCCTGAGGCCCAGCACTCAAGAATGGATCATGATTACAGTATTTTTTCATCAATTTTGGACCTCAAAATAAATGATCCCTAGATTACCATGATCATAGCTACGTAGCTGAAGAGATTCATGAATTTGGATCAACATTGGGATGGAAATGTGAGCCACAAAAGATTCATCAATCTTCCCGGTTTTGGAGATTATCTACCCATTGTTGTGGGAATGTATTTGACCCGTGCTTGACATCATCTCATTTTGCAGGATGGAAAGACCAAGACATGTTTGAGCTATATAATTTATGTCTTATTCATCCTCAACCCATGTTTATCCATTTATCATGAAATCAAACATGAAAAGATAGAAAATCAGCTAGATCTTTGAACCCGGCCCAGCTTCCATCTCCCCAGATCGCCGCAAAGGCCGCATCTGTTCCCTGAACCCGGCTCACCTGCTGCAGATGCGAAGCGAAGCCGCCGCCTAGACGCTGATTGCCCCAACAGATGCAGCGGTCATCTGTCAGCGCTGCAAAGGCATGACCTCCACCTGCAACGAGTCGAGCCCTAGGTGGCGTTTTTCCAACTTATAAGGAGTAGGTTATGTCCCTATGAGAGGGATTTGTGTAGGTTTTACGCATTTATAACTATGGCATACTATGGCTAGGGTTATAACCTAATTATATACTTACTATTCGTGGGATGAGCCACTAAGTATGAAAACAAAAAAAGATGTGACGAGTCAAAACTGGGTCTCTGAAAGAATTGGATTTCAAAGATGGTGTTTGTGTTGCCGGAAGATGCCATCTGGAAAATTGCAACACGAAAATGAAGGGGAGAGCAATGTCGACTGGTAGATTGAAACTCTATCAAAAACTCCAGCACAAGCCATCTGGCCCGTGAAGATTTGCGACTTTTGTTCCTTGAGCTTCCCCTCGTTGCAGCCGCTACCCCAATTCCGCTGCTTGTCGTTCCTAAACCGCCCGTGTTGATGAAAATTCCAGCGCCTCGAAGCTGCCGAACGGCTTCCGGCAGCTCTTTCACGGCGAGGTCAAAACCTTCGCCCCAGACCTGGAAAGAACGGGCTTTGAAGAACAGAACATGAGATTTAAGCAGCAAAATTTGGGTGATTCAACCCAAAAAAACTGGAGGGATTTCGCCAACGCAACAATTCAACAAAAAAAGGACTACAGTGATGGCCCCCTAATTTGTACCATGGAGTCATAACTCCACGCCTCACAAGTTGGTTGGTTTATTGCTGTGTTGGCTAATCAAAGATTTGCCCTCTACCCTCCTTTTGGCTGATGATGTTGGTTCAAATCCTCATTGCCCCGCCCTGCGCGAAAAGCCCCTCTGGTAGTCCACTATATACACTACATTCTCACTCGGGTTTTTTGGGGGCTATGTAGGGATTCTTTAGGGTTCATCCCGGGTTTCTTTAGGGTGTCATTTAGGTTTTCTCTTGGGGGTTTCGGGGTTTTCTAGTTTTGTTATATGTAAAAAGTGACGGGAAAAAAAAAAAACTGTTTTCGGGGACAGCAAATTCACCGTCTCTGGGTTTGCAAACCCAGAGCCATCTAGTTATTAGATCGCCAGACACTAGAAAGCCGCAAAGTACTGTAAAGGTCACTGCAAATGAGGGTTCCGACAATCATCCCGAAAGACTTTGGGGCACAGCACAAGTGCTGGCCGTCATATTGGGTAGTAAAACACCCGAACTAATCATCAAACGACAATAGTTCATCCATTTGATCACCATGCGGTTGTTGGTTCGGCATGCTAAACCTCCATTTTTTAGATCTTTTTCAAGGCAAAATCCAAATAAAAAAACCTTAAAAAACAGACTGATTATGTCTGATCATGTCTGATCCCCATTGGGGTTTTCAATCCCCTTATGACGCGGTGACCGAGGCGCAACCAGCTCCTCAGCTCCTTCCCACCAGAGCGTGAAGGCACCCAAGGTGGCAGCCAACTGCGGTCGATGCAGCACCGTGGTGAGGCTCTGGCCGTCCTGACGAAGCTGCGAAGTCATAAAGTTGCTGCACAATTTACGCATATTAACTATGTTGTATATTGTGTCTTGCCTAACCTCTGTAACAGTGGCACGAAGTAGGGCACCATTTGGTGCACGAAGAAAACCGCAAAAAAACACGATTTGCAGAAGAAAACAGAAAAAAGCACGCTGGTGCACGAAGAAAACCAGAAAAAAGCACGATTTGGTGCACGAAGAAAATCAGAAAAAAGCACGATTTGGTGCACGAAGAAAGAAAACCATTGGTGAAAAAGGAAAAAAAAACACGAGTTGGTGCACGAAGAAAACCAGAAAAAAACACGATTTGGTGCACGAAGAAAACCAGAAAAAAACACGATTTGGTGCACGAAGAAAACCAGAAAAAAGCACGATTTGGTGCACGAAGAAAACCAGAAAAAAGCACGATTTGGTGCACGAAGAAAACCAGAAAAAAGCACGATTTGGTGCACGAAGAAAACCAGAAAAAAGCACGACTTGGTTCACGAAGAAAACCAGAAAAAAGCACGATTTGGTGCACGAAGAAAACCAGAAAAAAACACGATTTGGTGCACGAAGAAAACCAGAAAAAAGCACGATTTGGTGCACGAAGAAAATCAGAAAAAAGCACGATTTGGTGCACGAAGAAAACCAGAAAAAAGCACGATTTGGTGCACGAAGAAAACCAGAAAAAAACACGATTTGGTGCACGAAGAAAACCAGAAAAAAGCACGATTTGGTGCACGAAGAAAACCAGAAAAAAGCACGATTTGGTGCACGAAGAAAACCAGAAAAAAGCACGATTTGGTGCACGAAGAAAACCAGAAATTGGTGCACGAAGAAAACCAGAAAAAAGCACGATTTGGTGCACGAAGAAAACCGGAAAAAAGCACGACTTGGTTCACGAAGAAAACCAGAAAAAAGCACGATTTGGTGCACGAAGAAAACCAGAAAAAAGCACGACTTGGTGCACGAAGAAAACCAGAAAAAAGCACGATTTGGTGCACGAAGAAAACCAGAAAAAAGCACGTGGTGCACGAAGAAAATCAGAAAAAAGCACGATTTGGTGCACGAAGAAAACCGGAAAAAAGCACGACTTGGTTCACGAAGAAAACCAGAAAAAAGCACGATTTGGTGCACGAAGAAAACCAGAAAAAAGCACGACTTGGTGCACGAAGAAAACCAGAAAAAAGCACGATTTGGTGCACGAAGAAAACCAGAAAAAAGCACGTGGTGCACGAAGAAAATCAGAAAAAAGCACGATTTGGTGCACGAAGAAAACCAGAAAAAAACACGACTTGGCGCACGAAGAAAACCAGAAAAAAGCACGATTTGGTGCACGAAGAAAACGACAAAAAAGCACGATTTGGTGCACGAAGAAAACCGTGAAAAAAAACTCAATTTTTTGGTGCTCCATTTGAAGCATGTTTAGTAAGAAATTGTTTTAACGACTGTTACAGAGGTTAGGCAAGACACAAGTTGTATATATATATACAATTATATAGTCATATATCTTATATATCACATATGTGTATAATGTGTATGTATATATATATAATTATATATATACTTACATATGGCTGTGATATTTGGGGAGACAGGTATGAAACCGTTGCCATCCTTACAGGCTGGGATCGGGTCCCGATCCCAGCTATGTTGGAGCTGCTTGAGCTGCGACGTGGCCAAGGGTTTCACCCCGCACAACAACCTTTGGGAATATGGGATTTTAATGGGATTTAATGGGATTTAATGTGATTTAATGGGATTTATGGTGGTTTAATGGGATCTAATGGGATTTACCCTCTGGTAATTTAACATAGCGAACTGGAAAATCCATTAGAAATGGAGGTTTCTAGCTGGGAAAGTCATCTGTAAATGGGCCACGGCTTCCATAGCTATGTTAAATTACCAGAGGGTAACATGTTTATGGCTTGTGGAGCCGGAGCCTTCCTAAACTCAACGTTGCTATCTGCTTTTTCTCTACGTTTGGTACCACTAAAACGGACCAGTTTTCCTAAATCTTGGGGGTCTGAGAATATAGTAGCACAAAACCCCAAAACTTACTTTTCCCCACAATTTTTACTAGCCAGAACTTTGGCATTCCGAGACCAACCCATTCCTGTCACAGGCCCCTCCTGAAGCCCCGCTTCTTGCAGGGTTTGGTTGGGATCAAGGCAATTCCCTGACTCAGAGAGCAAGCTCAAGCAAGCACTGCTGAGTCCCAAAGACTTCCTTGCCACGTTCGCCGCAGTCCGGCCATGAAATGGCTGGCGTTCCCTCAAAAAAAAGGACGGCAAATATGTGGGTATGATGACGCAACCACCGGGTACAGTTCAACCCCAAGGTCTTCACCCAACTAGTTTTGCATAGCCTGCAACGAAAAAACATGTTCTTGCTTGCATGCATATTCCTCCGTTTACATATAGATCATATAGCTAAAAGTTAGCTTGTTATTCTTATTAATAACTTTTTAATCTACGCTTCACAAGTTGGTTTACGCATCATATGGTCTGACGCTTTATTCCTCACATTTTGTTGGCCAAACCTCTATTCGTTGATGCTGAATTCCCCAGTGTGGTTCGTCTCAGACACCAAATCAATGAATATTCTTTAGCTGCTTCCATGGCAAAAGATTAAAGTACTATATCGATACTACTAGCCATCCAGGGGTTAAATATTTATCCATGGGTTCTGAGTAAATTCCCCATTTTGTGTTGGCTAAAACCCCTACAGTATTCTTGATGGTTAAGTGGTTAAGTCACTATGTGTGATAGTTCATCACTATGTTATAATGTTAAATCCTAAAGTTTCAAGGTCCTTTAAGAGTTGGTTTATCCCTAGCCATTCCAGTTGCTTCCAATCCCCATCAATCCCCAGAGATCCAGTTGGTTTCAGAACGAGGGTTTTGATGGTTAAGTCCCTATCTCTTAACGATAGTTGGATGACTAGTTCTGATGTTTAAGACCTGATTTTTGACAGTTAAAAACCGATTTTTGAAGGTTTCCACCAAGGTTTATCCCACTTTCTGCTAAGGGCAAGCATCTGCACTTCCCCTCGCAACTGGCGCACCGTCTCGCGACACTCCACAGACAAGGAGGCAGAGCGGCCGCTGAGCAAGGACACATGGACTCTGAGAAGCTCGCTCATTGCTTGAGCCAACAAACTACTGTGGCAAGCATATGTATGTCATATAATACATATTATACTATATTAGATAGTCATAATTGTATATATATATATATTGTAGTATGTATATGTATATATAATGATGATAACATAATAATACTAGCTATTAATAATAATGAGAATAATAAAGCAAGTAAAATAACTTGTGGTATAATTAGCCTGGAAATTTACCCATGCCTTGCTTGAACCAACAAATCTAGGGCTGTATGATATGTTCAAACGTGACTGGATGATTCTCGAGGTTTTTGGGGGGTTGATTAGTGTTGATTGGATTTGGGCCAGGGAATATCATATCGGATCCCAGATCGTTCATCTATCCGATGTTTTGTACCTAAATGACTGAGCCATTTTGGTGGAAATCTCGGCTATACCATAGAACATGATTCCGGTAGTCCGATAGGGATTGAATGTCCACTTTCTAGCACTTTCTTTTTGCCGCCACAGGAAAGAGCAGGGGTGCTATGACTAAGAACCATAATCATATAGACTAAACCTTGAAACATTGCACATTCAACAACCAGGTTTCGAGGACAAAATATCGGAGCAGTCTTTGGGTGACCAAACATATATAAAAGTGCACCACATACAAGAAGAACATGCTCTTATTGAAACGGGATAAGGTTGTATTGAAACACAGGAAAATGCGACCAAGCAGACATGAGATGGGTTTGTATGGAAATAGCGTAATTGCCCCTAAATCTCTGGTTGATGAATATTTCTGATTAAAATGGTCACAAGTGGGGTTAATCCTCCATGTTCAGACACACCTACATGGCCGATGCTATGTGCCGCAAAGCGTCACCATGTCCAGCAGAGGATCTTTCTGAACCATACGCCCATCGGCCTTGCGCTGCCAAGGTTGCTCAGTATTAAACCCATCTGTAAAAGGCTAACTTGTGGGTTTCCTGTCTACGCAGAAATGCATCGAAATGCAAGTCCCTGCAGAATCATCTTCTCAATCCAATCAAAACTGGAGCGAAAAGGGGGGGAGCGAAAATCCTAAAGACTTCAGCCCCCAAAAAATGACAATAGACTGATGATATTCCGATGTGCACAACTCATTGGTGAAGCCATCACAGATCCCGAAAAATAGTCATGCAATGACCGGTGATTATTCTACTCAGATTCATCCCACATCGTTTTAACCTTTGGGTTTGTCCGGAGACGGTGAATTCAGTGAATACCCCATCTCTACTGGCATGTTAAATCCTGATTCTCGGCCAAAGATATCATTCTTGCAATGTGGGGCCCCTAGATAGCTAAGTTGGTTAATAAACCCCATTAACTATATAGACATAGATATATTTACCATAAGCCATACTTAACCTAGTTATCTGGACTATAGATATATATAACCACCATTAAATCCATTAACTATAGATTAATATGTACCAAAAACTAGATATATCTCCCAAAAACTAGATATTAATAGCCCATTAATTATCAATCCCATGCTTTTTCCCCATCGTGGTTCCACCATGTTCCACCATGGGCCTTGGCGACGGTGTGCGACAGCGTGCGACAGCGTGCGACAGCGTTCAGGTCTCCCTCACCACGGCACGCACCACAATAGAACTGCCCTCCTCCGAAACAATCCACGCGGCTGGTGGTTGAGCCGTAAAACAAAGGAAAGTAAATAGGGACCATCCTCCTAGAAATATCCTATTTCTGGGGTTGGAAATGAACAATATTTCAATCATTTTCAATCCACCAACCAGCCAGAATCAAGATCTGACTATGCTTTAACATGGTTCATCATGGTTCATCATGGGCTGTGGAATATGAGATTCTCAGCTACTCTCAAAATCGTTGGTTTCATGGTGCATTGCAATTGTTCAGGCACATGAAAAAGTTGTGCTGCCTCAATTCACCATGATCTCGTCGTGGTATCCACAAAGAACGGTTGCGTGTGTGCCCAGTTGTCGATGATATCAGGTCATTTCCCCCGTTGTGGCTGGTCATATGAATGATTGTGAATTTCTCCACGGATCTCATGTCAAAAAAAAACGTGTGTCCAACAATGGAGGCACACAATGGGAAATTGCCATTTCCATCGGGTTACATGATGATTAACCACTGAGTTTGGGGGACATAGTATAAACATCTATGAACAGTTGACATTGATGAAATGGGGTGTACCCTGGACCCTTTTTGTGGGATTCACCCAGCTGCCTTTTTAACCATCCAACATCATCCAACATCATCCAACCATGACGCCCGGGGTCAGAATTTTTACATCATCCCACTGGGTCCCATGGCATGTGAAACAGCCCATTTGAACAACCTCAAACTTGGGGATGGTGACTCTAGCATTGGGTGAATCCCACATAAACGAAAATTTAAACCAACCACAACAGGGCACATCATGAATTACATCTACCCCATCAACAATGGAAAAGCATTAAGCACTACAGTATAATCAATAATGTCCTTTTGGTAAAAATAGAGGGGCCGGTTTGGTATACCATCTATCATCATTTACCTGTTGTTAAAGGACTTTCTTCGAACCCCTCTATGTATTCATCAACCAACCAATGGGAAAAGACATCTATGACCATAATACTATAATCATAAATTTACATCTAGTTACCATCAACAATGGAAAACCATTAAGCACCATAATATACTATATATAATCATTAATCCTCTAATGGGTGAATCCCTGGAACACCCCATATGAACAATGCCATAAACCATGCCATAATCCATGGACGCCGTCCTCGTAGACCTTTAGGAGGTGCCTGAGATAGATCTACCCACGTTCTCTACCACGTAGTTAAGGTTGAGCTAGTTATGAAATGATAAACCAGTACAGTATAAACCAACCTCTATCTCTAAATATATCATGATATATCTACCATAAATGTCCATAAATCATAGTAGTCCATAAACATCGTTTCAGCGCACAAAACATTGTATGTACGCTTGGTTGGGTGGTTAAACCACTAGGCCTTGCCAACATTTGGGACAGCCCATAGCAAGACTGAACGGTACTATGTCAACCTCCGTGGTGGGTCGGGGATCGTCATGACAGCTATGAAAGGGACAACGATTTGAAAGGACCCACCGCCAGCCCATATTTCATCCGAAAGAACCTCAGCAGTGGTTTCTACGGCATGTTATCACAATTTATATATATATAATGTAAATCGATTGGACCCCGAACCAACCACGACAAGGCCAAGAAGATTTCATGAATGGCCTTTGGGAAAACTATAACAACATGAATCGAGTTGCTACTTACGCATTTCTGTTCAATCTTGTTCTCTTGGATATGCTGAAGGGATTTTAAAAAAATAGCTGGTGATGCGGCCACCAGATCACAAGACCCATGATCAGGTCATATCAAGTTGAATTATGAGAATGATAGGAAACCTACTCTGTTCCTTCTGTGCGTCTGTGGATATGCAAAATACCACATTCATGTTTCAATGAGGTATCTGACTAACTTCAGCAATGATACCCATGGTTCAAACTTTGCCAATGGTGAGTGCAATCACCCCAGGGATGGAAAATCATGTCAACGCATTCCGGTCGCAAAATTGGCATATTACACCCATGGTTTGTCTCAGATACCCTCCCAAAAAAGGCCAACGCATTTCCTTGTAGGATGTCTTTTGCTATGTTCCTAACCATACCAAATGGCTCAAAATCGGGCCAAAATGAGCCAAAGACTTGACAAGAATCAACCCTGGCACAAACACGCCTTTGCCAAGGAACGGAAATTTCGAGAGCCACAGTTTTGACAGTTTCCTGGTCCGCTCATGTTAGGAGAGTCGCTTATAAAATGTGGTCCCTGAAGGGACTAAAGAATTTTGGCGGTCTCGATGGTTACAGCATGGCTACAGTCGCTGTATCTTGTTTCAGCAGGATAAAGCATATTCCTCCATGGAAATAGCAATGAGGAACCCTTTTTTACTTCATGATTATGTTGGTTATATGTCCATTTCATAATTGATAAAATTATATTTAAAAAACTCTCAAGTGTCCGATGTGCAGTTTCTTAAACCCGTCACCCAACACTGTTTTACCACTTGGTTTAGGTACTTTTTCACCGAGCGTCACTTGGTGTTTCTTCAGCAACGGTTTCAAGATCTTTTTGCAGTTTGCATCCTGCAAGAAGCACGCCCTCCCCAGTGGGTGATCCACATCTTGCTGGGTGCCCTTGAAAAGATCACCCTTTTATGCATATGTTGACTGTATCTTGCGAAATCTAACTAACAAGAATATGGCATCAACGTTTCGAAGAAAGGAACATATAATGGGATACGAAACCAATTTGATATGATATTTGGGTTTGGGAACGGGGAATGGCCAAACATGACCATGGTTTGTAATAGGCAAATTAAAAGATTAACCATTAAATTTGGGGGGTATTCTATTTTCAGACAAACCCATAGCATATATGGGTTCAATTTTTATATAGTTTGTGAAAAACCGCATCAATGTGTACGGTCACAATTGGACATCCAACAATCCGATGCTCTACTACTAAACGTGGCAAGAATCTGAGGTTCCAACCCACGGTTGTAAGTTTTGACCCATACCGGTAAATAAGCATGTGCATATTACATATATATATATAATTATACATTTTCAAAACATTGCAAAACCATATCTCCTGACATACTTTTATAATTTCACAAAATGCGATAAAATCCTAATATAAGATCCAAACTGGATTTTGCGACAATCCCTCTCAGGCCCATCAGCAGGTTTCTGCAGGAAAAGCCGCCAACGGTGGATTTTGGGATCCTACCGTTTTCCCACCCAATTTTGGCACAAATTCTACTGATTTGATATGCGTTTCTTTCGTGGAAAAAATCCGAATCAAAACTCCAAAAACCTACCGTTTCCCTTTGATGTTTGAAAAAATCAACCCAACTAAAGCCGTGATTTACTTACGGTTCGTCCTTTTTTAATGGTTAAACATCATTTAACATCATTTAACTATAAGGTTTTTTCGC